GTGGTCAACGGGCGAGAGGCAGGGTACACCCTGGACAGTCCGCCAGTCTATCGCAGGGTCACACAGAGACACACAAGGACAAACAACCACTCACACTCACATTCACTCCTAAGGGCAATTTCCCCAATCTCCAATCAGCCTAACATGCAGGTTTTTGGACTGTGGGAGGAAGCCAGAGAACCCGGAGAGAACCCACGCAGACACAGGGAGAACATGCAAACTCCACCCAGAAAGGTCCTGGTTCCCCCGGGATTCAAACCCAGAACCCTCTTGCTGGGAGGCGACAGTGCTAACCACCACACCACCGTGCCGCCCCTAGTATGAAACATTTTATCATAATTGACTTTGACTACTTTCCTGCTCTGTAGTTTCGTTCTTATGTTCATTCTCTCCTTTTTTCCTTTTCATGGCAGGTTTCCACACTTTTGATCAGCACTTTTGTATGTGAGCATTGTCTTATGTCACACACAGATTTGAACACATGCTATCCTGTTGGTATTTTTTGGTATTTGTTTCTCATGATCTGTATTTATATTGCATTTTCTGTTTAAGCCCACGTGGAAATAGTTGGACTGGCATGGAATTATTTGGTTGTTATTCTGGTGTAACTACTCTTAGCTTGTGCATACAGCAGAAACATCACAAAGTGTCTGAGAACTTTAAAGCTTCTTAATATTTAACCCTGTGCGTCATCCATTTAAGCTTGGCATTTGAGATTGAGGGAAATTTAAGACTTTCCTTTGCACAATTTGTTTCCCCTTTTAAAGTCTCTTTTGCCTTTGTGCCCTTTTTTCCTTTTATACCTACTTCCTGTTTTTCTTCCACTTATCACTCCACCGTTGTCTTTTTATGTCATTTCTCCCAACTCTGGCCTCCTTTTATTATTTTCTTCTCGGTATGGATGGTAATTTAGCAGTTCAGAAAGTTGTCAATGAGTCATTGAAATTCTGACTGTCTCAACCTGTTCTCCTCCAACCAACAGCTTTACATCTTAATAACCACCAGACCATGCTGTTTCTCCTTATATAGTTTCTATATGCTGGATGTGGCCACCCACTCAGCCAGTAATGTGATTTAAGTGCTTTTAAATTGTACTGTAGATAAATCTGAAGTGCCAGTCATTAATGTATGACGGTGTGACTGGTTGCTCTGCAAAAAACCTTTTCAAGCGTTTTCCTGTGAAGGACTTGCTCTTAGATACTGATGGGACTAGTTCCCTCTGTAACACCAGCACTATTGTTGGTGTGTGTATAAATGGGCTCGGCAGAAACAACAGCGGCATATGGCGACGGAATGACTGGCAGCAGCGTGAGCGATTAATGAGCTTGTCAATAGTGCACCATGATGAGGAATGTCTGTTGGGTCAATTTAATTAGAGCGGAAAAAAAAGTGACCACTAACACATTAGAAAAATCAGATCAACAAGGCTTCTTGCTTCGGCAGTGACCGAGCTGGGGTCAGGACAGAAAGACTGATGCACTGGACAAGTCATGAAAGAGTCATGATAGCCCCATAGGGGCTTTCTTCAAAGATTTAACTGCACAGACCTTCAGATTACTGGTGCTACATATGTATTAATGGATATATAGGGGTTGATGACATGCAGTATGCAACTACTAGAGGAGGATATTGTGATTAAGTTTCCCAAAAGCCAAAGAATGGAGACTTTGAGGTGGTTGAACCCAGCTAATGAAATGTCTGTACCATGTGCAAAGCATTGTGCTGTTAGACTGGAATGAAAACACTGTCAAACAGATCACAACGAGGCCTGGAATTACTTTTATTGGTTGAAAATAGCATTGAACAACGGCATTGATTTAGATATGTTGTCACTGGTGGAAAGTCTAGTAGATGAAGACCCGTAGGTCTAAATGTTCCTTTGCTAATTTTCCCAGCACAAGACACTTTAGACAGCTTCAGGTGTCCTTTAACCATGCTTTTACTAATCAGAGCTATTTGGTTCTCATATTAACAAGGCGATGGTAATGTTATGGCTAATACGTGTGACAGATAGCTCTCACTCTGAGAGTGCATGTGAGCAGAGAAAAGAGACTGGGGCAGGTATGGCCGTGTTACAAACCCACTGACAAAGGAAGAAATTCCTCATTCATTCAAACACATAATCAAACTGTGACCTTGTTTTTGAATGAGGCGAAATCCTTTGCTTTTCATAAAGCTGTGGATTATTCACACCAAATTACAAAAGCTTCTGGTTCTGTGGATTTCATTGTAGAATATTTCATGCACTCTCACTCTTTTGAGGTCTTTCCAGAGATTTTCGATGGCATTTAGGTTTGAGTTTCATGCTAAAATCCTCAGCTTGCTCCTACTGAAGTAATCCACAGTAGATTTTGAGGCAAGTTAGGGACCATGATATTTATCCTGTTCAAACATCTTATCGTTTAACGATTTTTCTGCATACTTACTTTAATATTTGATATGTTCTTCTGTCCTCTGGTGAAATATTTCCAGTGTGCAACAGAATCCCAACAGATGATTGTTCCATCCTTGTGGTTCACTGTAACATGAGTCAGCTTGTTACAGCTTAATAGTTACCTTAATCAAATGGATTGTTTCCTAACTGAAAATTAAAACTTAGTCAGATGCAAACATTTGGAATAAGATAGAATTGGCCCACTTATTATTCGGAAACAATGTCCTGAAAGTTCTTTCCCTGCTTGCAGGGCACGAGTAATTACAAATTTAAAAGTGACAGACACAACTTAGTGAAGATAAACTGTTAAATTGGGACCATTTATGTCTTTTAGAATACATTTATCCCACATAAGAGGATTTTTAATAACTTATGACTACTTAATTACTTAATAACTAATAACTTTTATTAAGTAAGTGGGATTAATAATGTGCTTTTTATTTCCTTCTTTTTCAAACAGTATGTTAAAAAGCTTTTCAAATAGGATTGTGAATTCCTGCTAGGCACATATAGAGACAATTACAGCAGTTTTACCACGCGCTGCCGTTTGCCCATCGTGAACTTTAAAGACATTTTGTTGTTCATTACTCCAGTGAATCCACCCCACAGCCTCCACTCAGCAGTTTAGCCATTTGGTTAGAAGTCAGTGTTTTTGTCCTTGTAGTCACCTTTGAGTTAAAAAAAAAAGCTGGTGGTGCTGGAACTGACACTGGCAATCTGTGCCCAGCATCTCCACTACAGGCTGCTCCTCCTCCCACTCGTCCGGGTCGCCTCCTGCCCCCAGGTCCCGCTCCGCTCATCGTCTCTCCGGAGATGCTATTCTCATTATTTACACCCCAGGCTCATCGACAGGGGAACTTGCCTCATTTAGTCCCCAGCCGCTAGTTCTTTGCGACACACAAATTGGGTGAAGGTCTGATATGCGATGAAATGCAGGAAGAAAAGGGAGATTTAAACCTACACAAAACACAGATGGTAAATATTTCAGCCCTGTGTGTCTCTGCTCCTCTTTTTTAGCTAACAGGCTGCTTTAAATTCCCTTAGAGCTTCACATGAATGAACGATTGCTGAGCTGTTTGGGCAAAGAAAGAGTTCACACCCTGCTACATGTATAGAAATAGTCAATTCAGAGGGTACGATTTATGCAAATCGCAAAGATTTAGCATTCAGTGAGTAAAAAACACCCCCCCTGAACCTGAGTCTCAAAAATGTTGTTCAACATTTAATGTGATGCCATCAATGAGGCTTTGATACTTTTCTTTTTTAACACTGGAAACAAGAGCTGCACCTCAGGTAGATAAGAGGAGGACCACAACTAATTCTGCTCTTGAAACGCATCTGTTTGACTACCCCCATATTTACAAAATTGTTTTATTGATAAAAGTCTGTTCTTTTTGCTCACAGCTGGTTTCATTCTCTTTTAATCCCATGCCTGATGCCAACCAACAACCTCCATATGTGTAAGATATGGCGTGGATTCAATGTTTGCGCCTGAGATTTAGTTTCTCTTTGGCAGCATCTGCCTCATCTACTATTTGTTGACCAACAATGTGTTTTATCAGATGGAGAGTTTTTATGTTGAGGACCCAGTGTTTAACATCTTTGACTCCACATTGGTTTGATGATATGTTAGCGTTGTAATTTCTGAGAGCATTTAGCATGTAAAAGAACATAATTTACTCAGTTAAGAGTTGATTTAATGTTGATTCCATCGTTCAAAAATACTTTTCTAGTTTTTTTTCTATACAACAGTCTTAATATTTGAACATATTTTGTCTGGGAAGACACATTTAGGCCTAATGTGGGCCAGTTTTTGGGCAAGTAAAACTATTAGTGGCTCAACTATACCACGGTAAGTGTTAAGTGATGAAAGCATTTAATTTACCTGCAAGATGTGGCCCAATTGTCATTAGCTGAATGTAAAAGAAATTTAAAAAGATAGAAATAAAATGTGGAACTTGACAATATTTTAAGTTAACATTTTTAATCTTTTAAATAAAAAGGAACATGGAATTAAAGGAAAGTACAATATGATTTTATTTGAATTTTTTCTAAAAAGAGAAAGCGATAACAACATGGCTAAACTGAGAGTCTGCCTTTTACCAGCATTTGATGCTATAGCTTTAACAGCCCCGAACAAATGTAAACTAAAAAATACAATAGCTTAATGAAGGTTTTCACATTTTAGTTTCATGTAAAGTGAAAAAGTAATCCAGCATTTCTTTATTGTCCTTAAAAAGCAGACCACAATGATCAAATTAAATCTATTGTATGTACTCTAAAGCTCTTTAAAGCCCTTAATCAGTGCACTGGGCTTCAGAGGACTTCATTCCACCCACACTGTGAAACAGCAAATTAAAGAAAATGAACTATCACACTTGTATCCGGAAGCTCTTACTTAGCAAAGGAAAAAAAAAAAAATCCTTGAAAAAGAATGTTTCTTCCCTGACTCATCCGAGCTTTCAGCGTCTATTAAATTGAACTTCACAAGGGCGGCGCGTGTTGGTTGGAGCTTCCTTTGTTGACTCGCATTACCTCTCTTTTTTCTCTCCGTCTCTGTGTTCAGGTGCAGCAGGATGCAGGGCGTGTTGCCCGTGTGTGGACTGCAGCCCCTGCTGCTCCTCCTTCTGCTTCAGACGGCCGGCTGCGGTGAGTCCTCATTAAACCCAGTGCACCCCATCACCTGACGAGCACGCTGCATAAATCTAGATAATCGTGTTTCGGGGCAAACTTTTTTTTTACCAGTTTTTAAAAAAAGTCCTTTGAGTCTTTCACCGATGTTTCTGGGAATCACGTCCAGTGTTTTGCCCCAAACGGTCATCTGCCACATTTAATACTTCCCTGCATCACTTATGGAGGTTACTTTTCAATGCATATTTAAGTTATTACCATTAAAGTACAAAACACCAACACTGGTAGCTAAAACAATTCATTTTTTCAAAAGTGTGTATTTAGATGTTTCTGATATGCAAAAAACAGAAATAAACCCCTTTTAGGAAAACTTTGTGGCTCGTGCTTGGGTGGCTTTAGTCTCTGTTGATTGACTTGCATTTCAGCGTGCACAAAGACCAAGACAGGGAGAGAAGTTTCCACAATCCACCGTGGAGCTCTCAGATTGTGATATACAGCTCAAACAATGCTGTTTTTCTTTCAAGGTTCATAAAGACAGAGTTTAAGCCTCCCTGGCCAAGTTTACTTAAGGCTCGGTTGTCCCAGAGGACCGTCCTCTCATCCAAATGCGAGTCAGCATCAGGACCAGGGAATGGTTGTAGATTTTTCTCTATGCTGCTTTTTAACACATGAAAAAAACACAGTATAAAATATTAATAAGCTGACATTATTTCCAGTGGTAAGAAGCTTTGAGAATTTGTGAGTGTGGGTGCTTCTTATCACAGCATCGGTTTTTGTATTTCAGCTGTGGGACTTTAGATCAGTGTTTCCAAGCCTGAACAACAACACAAGCCATGAAACTGCTCCAAGGGGTTGAGATTTATTACAGAATCTGACTATATTCTTCTATTTAGGCTATGAATCAGAAAAAAAGAGTCAAACAGTCAATCTAAAGTTCCAATAATTATATATTCATACAAATATACTGATTTGAAATATGTTTTAACAATCAAAAATAAAATTTCCCACAAACATACAAATGTGGGTTGTCGTTTAATCAGATATTCCTGAATGGCATACTAACAGATGAAAATTCAAATGCTATTCAGCTGAGATTATCCATACCGGCCTATCAAATCACGTTGATCACTGTGAAATAATCTGAGGAACAAGAGGTGGATATTTGACAGCTGTTTGTCTAAACTGATGCTCTCCAGTCAACCATGTCGGAAGTTTGTTTTTGCATTCATCAAATAGTTGCAGAATGCTTATTTGCATTCCACATAGACTCTTTGCCTCACTCCCTAACCTCACCTGAACCAGACAGGGCAAAAAAACAAACAAACACGAATGCAGGAAGGAAAAAACAAAATTTTTCCTTAAATTTAGATGAAAATATGTTTCATGCTAGACTCCGAGTGAGAAAATTGTTTTCCATGGCCTTCAGCTTCACGTTTTTTCTACTAAATTGCTAAATTATGTACTATCCAAAATATCCTTGTGCATGCCTCCAGCTTGTCGATTTGCATAATTAAAGGTCACCATGGCAAAACTAGCCAACTGTGAAAAAACAAATAGGCAGTCATCAAGGTAGCATATTATGAAGTATCACAGTTTGTGATGCAGGCACAAATAAATCTTTTCACATGATTAGTCCCTCTCTCACTCTGGCATTTTCTTTATCAATGTGTCAGCTTCTCCCCTGTTTTCTTTCCTCTGAACAGTGTCGATGTTTTAACCGACCTTTTATAACTTATCGACAAGCCTATTTACTCCTTTCAGTCCTGTGAAATCAGGCTGAGAGAAAATACAGAAAAAGATCGATACAGCTTATGTTGACAATTTAAGATGTAAATGTTTCCCTTAGTCGATTGGATATCTAAGATATTTGTATTCCATTTTACAAAAAATTGATAGATTTGCTGAGATTGCTTCAGTTTAGGATGCTAAATCCTGCTATTTCTGTCCTCAAAACTTTGGCAGAAGAATTTCCATTTCATTTCATACTCGACTCGCTGACCTTTGAAACTACGGATGCTAATGAGGGGCAGGCAGTCTTGTAGGGAAACAAATAATGGGGTGTACAAACAGGGACTTGAGAAACTCTGAGTCATTTGTCAATCTGTGTGACGGATCTGGTTTCCCTGTCTGTCCCCCAATCTGTCTGCTTGGCACTTTTAGCTGTCTATTCCAGGAATCCTGGCAGAGACGAGGAGACTATAAAAGAATTCACATCCCTCAGTCCCTCTTTGCCCTCTTTACGCTCTCCCTACACACTCCTGCAGGGAAAACTGCGGCTCTGCATGTGCTTGTGCGTATGTAGGACAAATGTCATGCCCCTTACTGCTCTCTGTTGCCTCCCTGACCGTTTGGGAAAAGGCATTGTGTCATTTTTGCATTATGTGGAAGAACAAAAACAAGTAAAATTAAAAGGCCGGGGTCCGTGGCCTTTTCCGTTACTCAGCGCTCCGATTCGCAGGCTGAGTCGATGAAAATAGAGCCAAATATTCTAGATTGGTTTGTGTGTTTGAGTGAAAAGCCGGAGGTTGCGTCTGTCCGCTAATTCTGGCCAACTCGGATAATGCTGCAGCTCACTCGCACAAACAGCATCACCGCATCTTAGATTTGCAACGTTCACCCCTCTTTTCTTACATTTTGGGGATTTCTTCTTTTCCTTTCCAGCTGAGCAGCTCTGGAAATAGTCAGAGGGAGGTAGGGGGCCACTGGCTTGACAGCCTAAAATTGGAAAAAAGATGGGATCTGGTGGAGGAGAGCGGATTTGGGGGGGAGCCTTTTGTGGGGGCGCGCGTGTGCGTGTGCGGGGTGTTGTGTGTGCGTTAAAAGTTGTGCACATCTACACTTCTTGCAACACATGATAAAATGCTCCATTATACCTCAGAAAGGTGCAAAATTAGTCATGGCAGCAGCCTGGAGGGACCTCCTCTAAAGCCAGAGAAGGCCTGGTTAGAGTCAGAGCAGACAGCAGGAAAACCGCAGAGGGGTTAATATTTCTCACCTGTTGTGAAGGAGGAGATGGATGATGGAGTTTGGGTCATACAGAATATTTTATCCATGTTCTGGGGTAAAAACGGAGGAGAAAAGATTCAGCTGCTTTTGGCTTCCGTCAAATTCTAAATATTTGAATTCTACATTTTCTGCTTTATGCTAATCATTTCCAGGATACTATCAATTTTAAATTCCCTCTAAATGCTTAGGCTGGAAAACTATTAATATTGTGGCATTTGTGAAAGGGCTGTAAGCATGCATGGTCTCATCTGAAGTACTAAGAATTCAAATTGTAACATCTCATCACATGATTCTTCTTAACTTTTTATCATTAGAAGTGCACAAAGCCTATGTTGCTCCTTTTTACTCCATAAAAGAAGTAACATACCCCCCCTTGTGCTGCCAATTCACATGTGACACCATTGTGTTAAGAAGGGAACAATCAAAACTCCCGGCTTGAAAGACCTCTTCCATGCTAAAAACATTTTTTTAGAAAAACTCTTTGAGCTCAGCCTGTTAAAATCCAGTTGATTTCATTATATGAGCTGTCATTTTATAACACAGTGATCAACTAATGGCAGCAATCCTCAGTCTGACAGCTCATCTGTCATGATTTATGACTTACACATGTTTCTGCACAAACACACTCTTACACAAACACATAATCAGCTGACACGCAGGCGGCGGGAGTGGAGTGCTGGTGACCAGTAGGATGCACTCCATCAGCTCTGGGAGCTCTTGACTGGCAGGTTGACAGGGCTGAATTATATAAACTGGAGCCGAAGTGGCTTTTTATCTTCCGAAAAAGCCCGCTGCAGGGATCCTGAAAAGAAAGCAGATAAATAATCGAAGAATTCAGAAAACGAGGAACGATGTTCTCAATTGTGTTCCCGTTAAGAGTGGAAATGCCATTACCGCCCTCCTCGAGTCTGTGTGCGACTCCGTGCCAGCCTCAGAAAGACTCTTCTGCTGTGTTTAATAATTCTGAAGCACTAAAGGAAAGACGGATGGGCCAGTGGTTACGATCGCGTCCATGCCACTGTGAAAAAAGAAAATCTGCTTTCTATTTGCAAGCATAAAACAAGGACGTGTCCTTTCACTTTCTATCACTCCAGGATGAGACATCATTCTGAGATTACCTGTTTTCATGCCAATGTTTATAGAAAAGCACACGTCTTCTATTTCTTTACTTTTCTGAGAATCTAGTTTTCTCTGTGTTTTACCTTCCCTGTCAAGCATGCTTTTGTTTCTACCACAGTGGCACAGAGATGAATATAAAATAAGGATTGAAAGCAAACAAAGGATCACATTTCCATCCAAATGCTGATTTGAGATGGCGCTTGTGTTGGGGATCCTTTCTGGTTCAAATTCATCAACACAAAGATGAGAACACTGTCGCTGTCTTTGACTTTCCCACAATCCTTTTCAAGATGTAATTAAAGCTTTTTCAGGGGAGAATTAGCAACTCATTTTGGGTGACAAATTTGTATGAATTGCTGTATCAATTTGAAAGCAGCTAAACACATGCAGACAGCACCAAAGAGGAAGGATGGAGGTACAAGAGAATGAGGGTGATTATGAGTTGGGCTGGCTTACTATGAAACACTTTCTCTATGGGCAGAATAAATGGCATAATGTTTCCCAAATGATGCTTATCCATTTGAAAGCAGGCCACAAACTGGTGAACATAATGACTTTGTTATGCTTCTCTGCTGAAGAATGCATGTGTCTGTTAATTCCTGGTAAACTGGTGGATCAGACATTGTGCTTTTATCTTTTGGGAGCGGGCCTTTGTTTGCCCGGGTCCATGCCTGTGTTTGAGCGTGTGGACTGGGGATGGAAGGGCACGTGTGTGTTGTCTGGTAGACAAAGAGGAGCGCTGTATCTTCAGGGAGGATAAAGAAAAGAGTGACGGTGGGGAGTGGATCTGATAGCTTGTTCCGAGCGGTGTGTCATCTGAATGGGGGTTTGTGCCTGTTTAAATGTTTGTTTTTTTCCCTGTGTTTATGAATAGTAAAGGTACATTAAATTGGCCAGAATAGCCAGGGCAATTTTATTAAAATTAGTTTTTAAGACCAGTTACCTAATTTTCAATCTTATATTTACCAGCCAGTGAATTACGTCTTTTTTTTAATGAGTCGTTTTTTGAGCTGCATGGTTTCGACTCAGTCCTGAGAAAGAAGGGACTCTATGCTTTCCAGTGACACGTCGTACCCTGTAGTTTTCATCTTCATGGAAAATAAGAGGACCAGTGTCAATCTAAGATGCTGAATTTTGGATTATGTACAGTAGTTTTACTTATCACCGTGTATCTGTCCATTCCCCAACAAAGAAAACAGGCTATTCTAACATTGTTTCGTGTTTTTTTAACAGAAAAAATAAAGAGGTGGACAAATTTGCTTATGATTGGGAGCTGTGCTTTTTCATTAAATTACGTCTCACCTTCCAATTTATCATTTCTCTTCCTTATGCCTTTAATAGCCTCTTGTTTTGTTTTCAAAGGTCACCCCAATTGATGGGCTTAACTTATCTTGAGTTCAGAATGAGAGACTATTTCAAGTACAAATAAAGTAGAAATAATTTTTGATGGTACGAAGCAGGGCCGCAAAGAACAGCCAGCGAGTTACACATGTGCCGCTGCGCTAGTCCTCATAATATCACTGGGAGAGGCAGAAAAGTGGGTATTTATGTGGGTTTGCGTCAGTGGGGATGGAGGGAAAAGTGATGGGAGGGCCCGAGTTAAGCTCTCTGGAAAGAGGCTCTCAGCGTCTTAGCATGAGCAACTCCAACATCATAACAGCTGCGGGAAGAGAAATGACAGTCTTTCCACTGCCTCTGCGTGTGTGTGTGCCTGTGTGTGTGTGTGTGTGTGTGTGTGACAAAAGGCATACACACCAACCAGTCAGGAATGAAAAATGGTGTGTTTGAAGGTGTGTGTGAGTCTTGGGGTTTATTCTCGTGTATCGGAGGATGGTGTGCGTTTTGTGTTTAATGAATAAAGGAAAAGAGAGGAGATGTTTTCCCCCCATGAGTGCATTCTGGGACACAGACCCACACTTACATGCACATGTACAAGCTGCACGCCCTCGTTGTCCAAATCATGGCAGCAATACGGGATCTGGCTCCCAATTCAGCTCACAGTGAGGAATCTTTCCCTTCATGGCTGGTGGGCAAATTCCCATCTTAACATGAAAACAGCGTCTTTATACGTCGCCCCCCTACAGTCGACAAAATGTAAATCCCATGGTAGTGGCAGGGGCAGGAAGAGGGAGTGACAGAATAGGTGGAGAGCAAAAAACACAGCAGAGACAGACATAGATTGAGCACTTTACACTGGCAGAGCTGTTAGCGGGGGGAAAAAAAACACAGTTTCACCAACGGTCCATTTAATTACAGCCAGAACAGACTGCCCATGCACAGTGTCGGGCGTTAGCATGCGTTCAAGCAAATGAGGCCGCGGCAACACAAGCATAAAAGGCGCTGTCAAAACGGACTCTAATGACAAAAAAAAAGCAAAAAAACAAACGGCTAATTTTGTTTACCACAGTCAGTTTTATATGTGTAATAAAAGATTTGGTTGGTTTAAGGATTCTTCTTCAATTAAGAATAATCACTGATTGTATTAATGTGTTCACGCACACACACGTATAGGTACACGTGTGTGTATACACACACACTGACATACATATTAACACTGGAACTGAAATGTTTTTTCGTCAGGAGAGGGTAAAAGAAAAGGGCCTTGAAGAAAGGAAAAGCCATTCCCACCAGATAGCGATGGATAAAGGTCAAAGAAAGCTGTATGTCAGGACGGAGGCAGCTCTCAGACAAAAATGAATAGATGAATAAAGATAATTCATGTAGAGGCCTGGAGGGTTAAAGCTTTGGGGCAGCCCCACATCTGGCATATGTCCCGCCTCTTGGGAGTAAACCAGCCGTCAAAGATGTTACCTAGGTTGAGAAAGGAGTCAGAGATCCACATACACAGAGACGTTCATTGCCAAAGTCAGAAATACATTCAAGTGGTTACATTTTATCTTAAGGAAAATCTGTAAGTCAAACAGTTCTTGGCATTGTCCAATTACATTGTAAATAGCAACCTCACGGTGACAGGAGTAAAAGTGTATAATCATCACTTTAAAAGTTACATACTTTTTTTTAGCCTATTTATTTCCTATATTAGTGTGTGTGTGTGTGAATGGGTGATTAAGGTGAATCAACTTAAAGCACTTTGTAGAAAGGCGCTTTACGGGCAGTTCTGCCCAATCCAAGATGGCGGACTCGTTGACGTATCGCTGGCTACCGGGCTACCGCGCTACCGGGGGCGGAGGGGGGCTACTACTGGTAGGGGGCTATCGGCCCCGGTAGGGGGGGGGGGGTGGTACGGAGCACTTTGTAGAAAGGCGCTTTATCGAGTTCAGTCCGTTTTATTTTATTAGTTTACGGGCAGTTCTTCCCCATCCAAGATGGCGGACTCGTTGACGTATCGCTGGCTACCGGACTACCGGGCTACTGCGCCAACTCAAGTTATGTACTTTTTGTGCCTATTTATTTCCTATATATATTAGTGTGTGTGTGAACGGCTTAATAAGGTGCATTAACTTAAAGCATTTTGTAGCAAGGCGCTTTCTGGGCAGTTCTGCCCAATCCAAGATGGCGGACTCGTTAACGTATCGCTGGCTACCGGGCTACCGGGGGCGGAGCCGGGGTCCGGTAGGGGATGCCGAGTGCCAACATACGAAATAATCTGAGCAAAATGATTCTTTTCCAAAGTTTTCAACTTGCACAGCCACACAGACTGCAATTGTATTGCTGTATATATATATATGTTAAAATTGTAGAGGAAAAGTTGTGGATAACTCATACAAGGCTGGACCAAAGAGGTGAGCTGAACTACAGACTTGCTGCTGGCAGTGTGGCAAATTACTGGCCAGGTGATTGAGAATGCAGGTACTGCTGCTGGGCTTTGGGCTGAATTAGAATAGATATGGCTGGCGTGCTCTCAGATCTAAGAGGAAAGGGATTAATAAGTGATAAGGGATAAATCAGATAAAGTCTGAGGGGTTCACTGGTAGAAAAACATCTGAAAACTGTACACAGGATAAACTGAGGCAGACGTCGCTTACAGATAAGATTATGTTTCTGTAAAGCATTCCCATCTGCATGGTGAATGGGCCAGCTTTGTTGTTTCGAGCAAGGTGACACAGATTAAAGTATTATGATCATGTCAGATAAGTGTGCTATGATCAATAAAAAAAAGAACTGAATGGAGAAAAACAACAAAAGATACAGTAGAACTAAAGTTAAAAAGTGTATAACCTTTTTCCTTTTTCTATCCACCTGTTGTTTTATTTACGCTAATATTTGCATCGCTTTGGTATGATTGGTGCTTTAAATCGCAAAGCGATGTTTGATATTGATCCCTTAATGCGTTGATGATTCATGGGTTTTTAACCCCGTCTTCCACTTGCTCATGTTTCATAATAATATTTGCCAGCTCAATGACCAATCAATATGTTAATCTATCTTTTTCATATTCCACCTTTTGTTCAACAGGGCAGAAGATCAGATTGAACAAAAGAGTCTGAAATTAAATCCCTTCAGTGTACGGGAGTCGGTTAACTAAAGCGTTTTCAATGAAATGGGAAATTACACTTACTGGCCATCGCAGGATTGATCGATTCCTCCACGCCTCTTCTTTTTTCACAGGTTTAGCCAATGCGGACACGGTGGTGAATATGCGGAAGGTGACCCATCAGACCATTAGTGAGGAGCTGTCTAAAACTGTCCTGCTCCCCTGTCTCTTCACACTTCGCCCCGCGGCCGGTTCCTTCCACGAGCCCCCCAGAATCAAGTGGACTAAGGTTTGGGGTCAGAGAGGCTCGGACGGCCTGCAGAAGGAACAGTCCGTCCTGGTGGCAAAAGACAATGTGGTCAAGGTACGTTAAAAGCCAAAGGAAGCCAGTTTTAAAGGCCCGTGAGATGTGACAAACGGGATGTATAACTCTCCCGTTTTTTCAGGTGAAGAAAGCCTATCAGGGGCGTGTCTCTCTACCGGGCTACAGCAAGAATCGCTACAACGCCAGTCTCTCTCTGACGGGGCTGCGGTCCAGCGACTCCGGTCTGTACCGCTGCGAGGTCGTGATGGGCATCAACGATGAGCAGGACACAGTTCCACTGGAGGTCACAGGTAAATGAAATACACAGTTTAACTAAAGTATATTGCCCAAATTTCACGTGAGAACAGAACACAACAGATCGTTGGATAATAAGACCAACAATTAAAGCACAAAAGGTATGATTTTTACTCAATACCTTCCATGGTTGTTGCACTGAAAGAGTTTGTTAAAACAAATCATTTTACACTGTCATTTTTATGAGGATTGAAATAAAAACAATGTTATTGTTCAGTAATTTTGACACTAATTCCCACAGATAAGTGGCAATTAACAAGGAACTGAAATGTGTTGTGATCTTTGTGCATTGCCTATTTTCACCTCTGCATAATATTTCCTGCCAGAATCACTGTGCCACTTTTTGGTTGTAAACTGCTTCTGCATTGCTTTTCAGGGTCCACTATTGTCAATGATAATACGCCGGCCTATGCGTGTCAGGCTAATACAGTCATTACCGCCAGGGTCCATGCTGAATGTATGGTGATAGGAAAAGGAGAATAAACTCACACACATTGAGGATTATATTACCAGGCCATTCAAGTGCTGTTAAAGATTAGTGGTAGCTCTCTGTAGCAGAACTCTAATAACTATAAACGACTAGCTCAACTTTATGGCCGCAATCAGATTCTTTTCATGTGCTTCACTATATTTTAATGATGCACCATTATCAAAATGACTAAAGTCACTGTACACCATGTTGTCACTTGTTACATACCAAAATAAAATCAACATTATGGCAATATTTTTAAAAAGCACAGCAGCCCTTATTACAATGGCTAAATTATCTAAAGTGAAATAAATAGCTTTCACTGTGCCTGGATATGGTCAATGCATGTGCATAAATATGCTTGAGTGTGTGCATGTGCTTGTTTAGATTACTTGCCAAATAAATATAGTTTCCAAACCTCAGTGGAGATACTATCTTTTGTTCCCAAACCCGTAGAGAAGCTCATTTTTCTCCCCATAACCGCTTAATGTAAAGTAAGCAAACTCACTGCTTATAAGCGTTGGAAACCTGGTGCCCTGCCACTCTCAAATGATCAATGCCATGAAACTACTCCTTCAGAGAGAAACCAATTACCAATCCAGTGAGGAGCAGCCTTCTCCGGGGCTTAGGCTTAATGGGCAGTTACGCTACATGGCCGACCGCAGTCGTCCTCTCTAATTCTGCTCAGTGCTCAACGTGTTAATTAAAAGTATTGATGCTCACGCTGTATCAATACTGTACAAATCCACACTTCTCCCTTTTTCTTCCTGTTAATCGCTTCTTTGTGGTCTCGGTCTTCTTTGTCTTGTTGCACTCTGAGAAGTCGGTTTACTTGGCACAATTTCTTTGGTGAAGTTAATCAGAAGTTTTTAGATGACAGCCCAGCAGTGGTAGGTCTGAAGACATTAGGAGGCATGTACACATTGAGTCCAATGAGAATTAATTGTACTTTTTATTCTTTCTATCCTTCACCTGCTTTGTCCTCATTCTGCAGCATTGCAACATGGAAATGGTTGAGAGACGGTAAATGATCCTCAATAGAAGCTGTTAAAAGTTTCTTTAACTACATTCTTTGAAATAAAACAAGCTAGGGAAATTCTGGGGAACACTTTAAATTTAATTTGCGGTTGCAATTTGACAGACATCCTCTAGAAGTAACTGGAAGAATAAACTCTTTGAAGTCCATCCTGACCATTTTTACTTTAAATATGTTTGTAGAGCGGTTCAATATTGGTTTCCAATCAAATTATGTATAAAATTTAAATAACAGCTTTAAAGAAAAATGATCTCTTGCTTTATAGCAAGTTTACTGTATAGAAGTTTGGACAAACTAAATGGTATTGAGACCAATTAGAGACCAATTTGAAACTATATGGCAGTAGTTTAGGCTTTAGGTCTCATAGACAAAAAGATAATAATGGTATTACATGCTGTATTTCCCAATGGCACAATATAGAAATCCAAACGAAGAACCATTTGGATTACAATTAAAACTCCAGCATGTGATGAAAAACGCTATTGGCATGAAAAAACTGCAGCGTGTTACACCATCCCAGAGCAATTTCCTTAGGCTGACAATGAACTGCTAACTATGCCTACACATTTTAATCATGTATCCTGCACTTGTTCCTGAATTAACACTCCACATAGCAAGTCGCAATATGTAGATGATAAGTAGGGTGCTATATAGCCTACTCTTAATGCTTTCTTTTTGTTTTACAATTGACTTTTCTTGTTTTCTGTTTATGTTATTGCATTTAGCAGATGCTTTTTTAAAGCCACTTACAATGCAGATGTACGGATATGAAACTGTTGATGTGAAACTTCTGTCATGATATAAAGATGTAGAAAAGGCCAGTCTCTACCTCTGTTCCCATTTTTACCGTTCATCAGAGTTTTTCTATATATATATCCTGTAAATTCAGCAGCAGAGTCCAGTTTCATATTATGTTATGCCCCTTTATGGAATCCCAAATGGAATCCCAAGGTAACAAGCGTATTATAGGAGGACGTATGTGAGCTGTTGGGCTGAAAAGTGAAACGGATGCTTATGTGAACACAAAAAAAGCGTATTTTCAGCTTTAATCCCATTAATATATGTGAGCAAGGCATTTGTAACTTTAACTTATGGTTTTCTGTTCAACCATTAATTGAATACAACACACAGAATAAAATATGTAGTTTTCCTCAATTACTCTTTTTAAAAGCAGAGGGAATAGCATCTCTTCACCGTGCCACAATGGGGGCATCCTGCAGTCACATATGCCGCCTTTCTGCTCCTCTCCCTGGAGACTGTGTGAACGTGTGAAGATCCAGAGGGTAAAAATAGAGATGAGGTGTATTAGACGTTTAACCCTGTTGTGGAATGATTTTAGGTTTCCCACACAGAGAAGAAAGCAGCATACCTATCCAGGAAACTGGCGTACCTGTTTAGCCAAATCCTACGGCCCCAAATGATAGAAGCTGAAAAATAAGATGTGAAAAGAAAAAAGGGTTTAGGGGTTTGTGCTTCATATAACGAGGAAGAATGTGACCGAGTTGTTGGATGGACTCTGCTGGGATTGAGGGACCTGGGAGGGGGGCCGTGTGTGTGTGCGTGCCAATGCCACGTTCAATGACAGCATGCTTTCTCTGCCCAGAGCCCCAAGTGTTAATGCTAAAAATTGTCACTCGGACATCCATCTTACAGGGATCTGACTCTCCCAGACAATGTCAGAGAAGATAAAAGAGCGGTGTTAGCAGCCAGACGCCCACGAGCCTGCGCGAGGCTGGATGCTTCTCAGGGGCGTGTGAATGACAGGTTCAGGTGGGAGGTGGACGGATGCATTTGAAGAGCTTCCATTCGTAAAGTGGAAAATATGCTCCTTACACAGCTGAAGGAATCGCGTCTCTTATTGTCCCTATTCATCTCTTTTATCGAGGTTTTTCTCTTTTTTAATGCTGTCTCCCCTTAACCTGTTTTTTTTTTTTTTTTTTTTCTGCCACCGCGATTCAATACACACATTTGCTGGATTTAGCGACGCTCGGCTTTTCGTCTGCCTTATTTGTCATTCCATCATGAGTGTGGAGGCAGGCGGGGTGCAGCGGGGTGACGCCGCGTGTGTGCCGCTAAAGCAGAAACATAAACATCCCCGCTGTTTGTCATACACTGTATCCAAGGGCAACGTCCCTTTTTTCTCTGACAATAAGCACGCAGGCCGTCGGATGCAAATGAGGCTCTCGTACAGCGTTTGCTGAACCCGAGGGCGGCGGCGGCGGGGGCCCGCACAGATGGAACGTTGTCAGCACATCACGAGAGAGTCCACAGCGCCTCGCCTTTATGTGCCTCTGAACACGTTCATCTTCGGTTCTAAACGTCTCCGGCCTGCTGTTAATAAACACATCTGGGGGGGTTTAAAGGTTGAGGGTCGGGCATTTGTGTGGGTGGATTCCAGAGCTTGTCGTCACGTCTTTTATCCCCCCTCCTTCCAGGTGTGGTGTTCCACTATAGGGCCCCTCACGATCGCTACGCCCTGTCCTTCGAGGACGCCAAGAGCGTTTGTGTGGAGAACTCGGCGGCCATCGCGACGCCGGGTCAACTGCAGGCCACCTTTGCAGATGGCTACGACAACTGTGACGCGGGCTGGCTCGCCGACCAGACCGTACGGTGAGGCTCTCAACACGGAGGGGGGGGGGGTGCAAGCGGTAGCAGGTGGTGGGAACTTGCGCTCGGATTTGCTCCCTCCGGAGTAACTCAGCAGAACAGTGTTTACTGTCACTATGGTTTCGGCAACATATTGTGTTTGATATCGTCAGCATTGTCAGGGGGCCCGTTTCAACAATGTAGCCGGGAAAAAACGTGGATCGGGAGGCTCTTTGTCAGAGTCTCCATGGTGGCAAATGAAAACATAAGTCAGGTCTTATGGGAAGTATAAATACAGTTTAGAGTAATTGTCACTTCAAAGGTTTTATTTGCTGCTTTGGAGACGCTCCCAGCCGTGTTATCCTCTGACTATTTCAGTCAAAATCGAAGTATAGCCTACATGAATTAGTTTGCTTTTAAATAAATTAATTGATTATACAATGCCTGGGAAGTTAAGATGTGGAATAAAATAAATTCTAAGTAATCATTCAGTCATACAATGATTGAAAATGCACTGGCAGGATCTGCTAGTCTAAGTTGTTATTTCAAGACCTCTGTTTAATTGGCCAAGCTTTTAAACCTTTTTTTTCCATTTTTGTTGGTGTTGTTTTCAGTTTCTAAGGGCATAAAACTGTGCAAAGAAACCAGACCCAATTGCTCTGACAGACAGCTTCAGAGAGCGCATGCAGTTAGCTGCATTTTCAGATGCACTTTGCATGAAGTCCCTCTTAACATTATCAGTGGGAGCCTGCCTGTCGACGGCACACCCCAAATCTGCATTTTAATTCCCAAATCACTGCAAGCTGATTGACTGTTGTCTTCTGGACATTTCTTTTTTACATCCTTCCTTTAGCATAAATTCCTCCCTTATTTCTTTCACTCCATCTGTCCGCCATTTCCCCTTGGGGCAATGTAATTGGTCCATATCCAGGAGACTCAGATAGAACATCAGCCTTGAGGAAAGGCCCAATTAACACAAGGAGGACATTCAGCGTCAGCTATTGTGTCATCAGAAAAAAAGACAGAAGAAGACCACTTTCATTTTATTGTATGAGGAGTGGCTTCTAAGAGGAGATCTGCAGGTTCTGGTTTGTGTACAGAAGTGAGTTTTAAGCATGTAGGTTTGATTATGCGTGTTTCTGTATAGAAACTGTAGAGATCTTTGAATTTCAAACAAACCCCTTTAATCAGACTCATTTCTTGTATCCTGTTGGAATCGATGTTCTTGTGGAATAATTGCTGAGCTGGAGCCCAAATAAAGATTCCTGGTTTATTCACCCCACAGGAATCCAAAGTCACTGAACAAATTCTTGATTCTTTTAAACTCCACTTGGCTTCCCACATCTACCCTTCTATCCCTTTGACTTTCCATAATTTAAGTTAAGGATTACTGGTGTTCTTATTCTACGAGAGCATTAAAAACATTTTGTAATGATTTGGGTAATTATGTGTGAAAACTCGCACTGCGGGCAGAATGATTCAAAGAAACAAGATAGTGTATCAACTAAAGTGCTTTCCAATGATAGTCCTGGGGTTGTTTTGGTGTAAAATAAATGAGTATATTGCATATTTTAGAATCATTTTAACACTCAAGGAAGAGGAATGTAAATGTTGGTATTCTTTGTAAAATAGAAAATACCTTTAAGCTAGTGGTGATGTGTAATCAAAAGAAAATGTAGCTAATTAATTTAAGGGTTTTTGTCATTATCACGATCAATGGCTTTTTTTGATCAGATAGCAATATTTGACACAATTACCAACGCATTTCAATTCACATAGCTGGCAATTGAATTAATTAATATTCATTTATGAATTTTGAGCCAGAAGTGTTTATTTTTTATTCATATTTCTCTGTAAAAGAGTTTAGACTTCTTCGAGGCTGGTAATGATCAAAATAAAGGTGTTTTGTTTTATTTAGCATGCTCGTGAACACAGGCTCGTTCCAGCGGAGTCAAGCCCTGAAACTGTGCCTTCTTCTCTACCTCCCTCTATCTTTTTCCCTGTCTGTTCCTGCCTCCTGCACAGCTACCCCATCCAGTCACCGCGTCCTGGTTGCTATGGCGATCGCGAGGACTCACCCGGTGTCCGTAACTATGGCAATAGGTCCCCAGAGGAGCTGTTTGATGTTTACTGTTTCGCAAAGAAGCTTCATGGTAAGAGAAACTTCAGCTACAAATGGAAGTTGGGTCAGTAAGCTAGGTTTTATAGTAAAACTTAATGTTCTCATAAGAAAGTGGCAATATTGAGTCCAATAAAAGGTGAAAATTCATCATTAATCTAGGTCCTTATCTGAATGCTAATTTCTGCTGACCATCTTGAGGGTTAGGGACAGTTATTTGAACAGCGTACTCAACCTTTCCTCCAAACGTCCCTGCTCAGTTACAAAGTGGTAGAATTAGTTGCTCAGGGACTGTTTCTCCTCCTCGTTGGCTTGGACTCAGAGAGCTCCAGCGCAGGGCGTTACTGCATCTGCAGCCAGTGGCTCAAACAGCTACAGCTTAGAAACAGCTCTAAGCCGTATCCCCGCCAATGTCCACTCTGGAGAGGAAAATTCCTCCTCTTTAGGAGCAAACCACTGCAGATGCCTCATGCTGCTGTCATTTTTCTCCATTGGACCTGATATCGAACGCCTCATGCTCTCACTCCTGTTTCTGTGTTCTCTCACCGCATGCCTACTTTTTAGCATTTTCGAGATTATAAAGAGATAGATTTGTGCTTTTAAGCCTTTTTACTGGACTTATAGCGAGCTGATATAAATTATGGAAGTGTTCAATTTTAATTGAACACTTCTACCATTTAAAACCATTGTATGAGATTGGAAACCACGTTGTTTATGTCAGTGGGAAATGTAAAACACACTTTATATTAATAACATTCGTATTACACAATAAACTATTTGTACACAGCAGAAAGATTGCTACGATGGAGGCTGTGCAGAAACAAATGAATAGTTATAAAGGTGTAAAGTGAATATAAAAGTTAGAAAATCATGTATCTAAACAATTCAAGACTTTTATTAGGAGTAAATAAAGTGTCAAATAAAAAATGTTAAAAAGTTCAAATCCATTCATTTCAAAATCTTTTGGCTACAATCTTCTATTTTCAATTTCTTTGACAAATTTTGACATATCTTCTGCCTCATGATGTAGGTTTTTACATGAGAGATGGCTCTGTTTGTCCCTGTAATGTTAGCTCTCACTGTCAATCTGACAACCATTCAGACAAATTGAGAGACATCTCAATTCAATACTGAGTAGTAACGCTGCAAAAACTACCCAGATGTCATATTATTATATTGCCTGAGTTGGAAGTTGGAGGTGTTCGTTGTACTTAATTAACCTGCTGCATATTTAAGAGTATGATCACAATAACAGCAGGATTCTAATGCTGCCCTCCGACCAGCTCAAGGGGTTAGTTTATATTTGGAACGACCACAACAATTCATTATTGAGGTGATGCTTCTGAGAGGTATTTATGCATTAACACCTTGGACATTCTCTGAGATAATGAGCAGTTAAGGATTTCAGGATCTGCTTTTTAAATCCATACACAAATGGATGTTGTGGTTGAAACGTCAAATCGTCTGTTGACCTAAAGTTACAAATTGATGCATAGCTGTTTTTCCTCTCTTTTTCTTTAAATGCAGCCAGACACTTGATCGATAAAGTGATGTTGATTTTACTGTGTAGCCCTACCCCTCTCTTCCTCTGGCTTATTTTTTCGCTTTAATCTTAATTCTTTTTGGATCAAGTTCTGGAACTTCGATTTTAAATTTTTCATACACCCCCTCTCACAATCCAATTCTCCTTTCTCCTTTAATTTTGTTACCAGTTTCACCCTTTGCCCCCTTTCCTCTCACTGCAGTAAAACTGAGCCGCTATAGATCTTCTGGATCCTCATTTCGAACTTCTCCACTTCTCATTCTCACAGTCCATCTCTACAGCTCATATGTTTCATCTATTCTTTAACTTTCTATGAATTACATGGACTTTTTAGTTGACTCATGCTTTGCAGAGGTTCTCTTGGGTATTTTTCTCCTCTTTTTTGTCAAAATCTGTGTAAAATCCAATGGAAACTGGCGAAAAATGCCTGCTGTTGAAGTGCTTTAAAGATAAACGGCTGTCTAATGTACACATATCAATTAAGAAACAGGCACAGGCTCAGATATGATCTTAACTGTGTGACCTATCACTAAACAAACCACTCATAACACAGAGCCATTCCTGTCTGAAGGATGGAATGAATCTGCTTTGTAATGCACTCAGCTTTCCATTTCTCTGGTCCCGCCGCCCTCCAGGTGAGGTGTTCCACTCCACGGTGCCGGAGAAGCTCAGCCTGGCCACCGCCTCCACCCACTGCCATTCCCTGGGCGCCCAGCTGGCCACCGCCGGGCAGCTCTACCTGGCCTGGCAGGCCGGTCTCGACCAGTGCGATCCCGGCTGGCTGGCGGATGGCAGCGTTCGCTATCCCATCAATGTCCCGCGGAGGAACTGTGGCGGAGACGAGCCGGGCGTGCGGACGGTTTACAACAACCCCAACCGCACCGGCTTCCCAGACACGGCGGCCCTCTTTGACGCCTACTGCTACCAAGGTAACACCAGCTCTGTGATGGTGGAGTCACAGACGGTGGAGCCCGGGGAGTGGATTTCCTTTCCAGTTCCTAATTTGCACTCTATGGTTGTGTCACACATGATGGAGCTGCGAAGAGATTGTGTCACATTTGTGTTCCTCCCGGTGGAATTGAGGGCTTGTGTGTTGTGTGCAGTGAAGCCTGAGAGAATGACATGAAGGATAGATTAAAAAGACGAATCGTGAATACAGTAAGTTCAGCGGGTTTTGCAGCACGTCTGATCTTTTTTTTTTATCATGTGTGAATTCAAACTGAAATACGATACTTTAATCTTCACACTGAACACGGCCTGGTTCTTCAACAACAGTCCACAATCTGGGAGCGTAGAAGCGCAACGGCAGGACCTTAGAGAGATAAATGTTGGCATTTTGTTGTCAGTCTGTAACAATGTGGCTTACGTTCTTAGCTCCTTTTTGTGCAGGAATGACAGATGTTTCAGGTTGTGTTGTGCAAGAGCTGGTAAAGCAAGTCAAGTAAAGAGTTGCCTTTCATCTGTTGCAGTTCATACGCCAGCGGGGATCCAAGCTACAGAGGCACAAACTATGGACCTGACCAAGAGACCTGTGGCAGAAGCCATTTCTTCTGCCCATGAAGCTGAGAATGACCTCCCCCCTTCTAAGACCTCTGCGTGGACTGTCCTGGTGGACTCGACAAAAGCAGGCAACTTCTCTTTAACTGACGCTAACAACCCATCTGAGATCTCCGAAGAGCATGTTGTCATCGAGTTAAGGCCGGAGGCAGACTGGGATGAAAAAAAAGATGGAACCGAAACCAGCCAAGACCAGTCGGAAGGCCCAAAGACAAACAGCAGCCTGGGCCTTTATGACCTCCGAAGAATGGACAGCCAAGGAGGCTCTGCTCATGAAGATGAGGACGGCAGTTACTTTGACTCTTACACTCCAGAAACATCCTCGAGAGCTTCTTCTACCCCCGAACCTCAGACAAATCACGGTATTCTTACCGAATTTGTCAATACTCTCGTAAGACCCTTTAAGTACTTGATGAGCATGAAAGAGGTGGATGAGACAAAGAACACACCGATGGAGCCTGAGGCGAAAGCAGAAGAGAACCAGACACACACAGAAACATCCAGCAGAAACCTGAGTATCCCAAAGGCCAGCGAAAACAAGGGCAGCATTGACAATGCCATCATGGAGCGCAAAGGTCACACTTCCTTTCAGGATCCTACCGGCGGGCTGCAGAGTATAGAGCAGGGTCTGTCTGAGCAGGAAAAGGAGCTGATGCCATTGATTAAACTTGTGCCTGCGGTCCAAAATACAGAGCAAAGCGAAGCCGGCTCCCATCCCAGGGAAGGAGTGGTTAACCTTCAGGCCACTGCTCACGGTAAGAGCCCATTTCTCATTTTCTATCTGTCTGTGCTGTTTCAGTATTTCACTTACACCTTTAAAACTGAACTGTTTCAACTTCATTTGGAATTTTATCAAAACATTTGACAAAACAGACAGTTTTTAATGGATGCATGGTGCATTCAACTCTCTGGTAAATGTAGGATCTCTGAAACGGGTTCTGCCCGTGTTCTGCACACTTTTCCCTGGAGTCTGCTGTAATGTATTCTGTGGAAGGGCAATTTGAAGTATCGCTCAAAATTTAATTAAAAAAGTAATTGCAAACAAAACAAAAGGGGACACAGTGCATACTGTATGGGGATGTAAAGAGCTAGATCGGAGACCGTTCTGCCTTCATTGTTGAGTTTATTGACAATGCATTGTTTACAGTACAGGCTGTCAGAGACGGTAAACGCTTTGAGGTTTTTTTAATATGTTTGATGCAATAAAAGGTTCGTCCCAAGATGCATTTTCTGCTTAAAACAAAGAAAACCGCGTGCCAGGTTTTTCTTAGGCGTCAGCAATGCATCAGACCTGAACTACAGAGAATAAATGATACAAGGGAGAAAAACAAAGCAATCTCAAAAACATCGATAGAAGCTGATGTGTGGTCTGACACGAACTGAGAGGTGTGTGTGTGTGTGTGTGTTTCCTACTTCTTTGGGTGCTCAATAACCTTGAGTGCAGAGTATAAAAAGGTCACTGGATCACCTTTTTCTCGGATGCCCAGAAAAGCACCGCAAAAACAACCCTAAAAACACTCCTTGTAGTTCATACCTGCAAAGAAACTGTCGACTATAGATTGACGAACAGATGAAAAGGACATTATTGAACCAATAATTCCAAAAGCAATGTCTCCACTGTGAGGACAACCAAGATTTCAGGTAAGAGATGAACTGCAGACTAGCTGAGAGGACAGAGAACCCCAGCCTTTAAGTTGATGGAAGCAGCTCATCTATTTACTGCCACCACAAAAAAAACACACATCCCAGACGCCAGCTAAAAGAGAAGAATACAAAGTAAGACAAACACTCTCGCAGAGGCAGCTGGAAGAATGATTCAATAAGTCTTTCACTATTCTCACCTTACTTTATTGATATAAATACTCACTGCTGTGCTACCTGAAATCCCATGACAATGCGATCTAAAGGTATTAATGAAAAACCCAGCTTTAGTCTGCATGCATTATTTACAGCCATATCCAATTAATGTGGAGGCTGGGCGGCTCTGCTGCTCAGTCCAATCTTCATCTACGTCGCTGCCAATTAGAGCCTGGATCTCGCTGGGTAGGCAGTAATGATCACAACAGAGGGCGAGGAACAAACTGGAGCAAGTAAGAGAGAAAAAAGTGAAAGATGGAAAAAGGAGGGTGAGGTGAAGTCACATCTCCCTTTAATGCTGCGGAGATGGAAAGTTGCCCAGCTGATTTCTCATCATAACGTAGCGTCAGTGGACTAAATTAACTCTGTTATTGCACTCTGCAGGATATCCCTTGGATCTCAGCAGTCTTTAGCAATAGCTGATGTCGTGCTGTCTTTGAGGGGGAAGCAAAGCTCTTCCCTGCAGACTCTACGTCCCAATATGATGAGAAACTGAAAATGTAATCAGAATATTTTTGAAAATTTTAAATCGCTCTCCAAATGCAAGCCAATTATTTCAATTATGGGCCCAGAAGTACCACGTACTCAAACTTATTGCAGTGAATGATTGTTTTCCTGTACCTTTCAACAAAAACATTGAAGCTAATTCAGGATTTGAATAAGTTCGAGATTCAAATCCTGTCTGTTAAAGAACACTATGTCTGCTCTGCACCAGCCCCGTTTTCTCCAGCCAGACTGAACTGATGTGAAATCACTGAGGACCAGCACATTAACATTCACTAACTTATCAGTGCTGTTTATAACATGCCATGCCTTTTGGATAGGACGAGGTGGCATTAGTACCATCTATCTTGTTCTGCCTCCCTTCCTCTCATTGTCAGCCTCTACTCTCACAATTTAATATCATGTCTGCCTGACCCGAGGGATTTTCTCTCAGCCCGTTTACTCCAATAAAGGAGATTCAACCTAGCAGAACCACTTGCAGTGAAAGCACACAATTACTGTTCGAATGGGGTTTATTATAAGTTTATTTTCACCTGGTTCTCCACCAGCAGATATACCAGCAGCACAGATTAACTTAAACGCCGCTCTGAGTAGTGCTATGAAATCATCCGAACCCATGCCTAATTGTCTCATTTTATTTATTACATGGGTCATTACATAGATCATCAAACCAGATTAATGTGTTTAATTATTCCGACTTCCATCCGTGTGTGTAGTAAAAGTATGTAATTAGCTGTTTGGATTATTAATAGGACAATTACAGCAAGCTACAAGGCTCTTATGGAAATGAACCTCCGACATAAACTTCACATTTTAGGCATACGGCAACGAACATCCTTCTTGAATAATTTAAAAGCGTTTTAATGTTTTATGCATGGACATCTTTGTGTATGTTCCCTCCCATCCAGTAATTTGTTGTGCTGTCTTGCAGTCATTTCTGGACATGTTAGCGGAGCTAACGACAGCTAAACTAAGCTGAGGGATGAACGGTTGCTCTGCCTCTCCATAATGCAGCTGCAGTGCTGCCCTAAAAAAGCCCTCTCACACCAGCCATGAGTCACACATGCAGACAGATACATTATTAATAGTGTTGACAGAGTCTGGTTTAGAGCCATAAGATGATAAGGTACAGTAGGCCATTTCCTCTAAATGAATAGACCCGGATAGAGCTTGTTGTTTCACTCATCGTGTAGCAAATGCTCCTGTGTTTCTCCACACAGCCTCTCCCACCGTAGACAAACATATTTCAGTAAGAGGCTTTTTCAGGTAAACTAATCCACAGGGACAGAGAAAGGAAGTGTGAAATCCTTCACCCTCCCACCAAAACTTTTTGGCGTTTTATTACCTGTTAATGCAGGTGTGCTCACGCCTCCACATGTCCATAAACTCCATCAACTTTGACTGACTGGCTCTGCCAGTGAAAAGAGAAGAAATCCAATCTACTTTAAAGCAAATTGTGCATAATAGCATTTTCAGTTCACCGAAAATTATAGCTCGCTCCGGCTTAAAAAGCCCAGAGATAAAGCTGTGCCAACTGCAAATGTAAGCACAATTACACTTCAGCTCTATCAGACATACCCGTCAAATCAAAGAAGGGACAACAGCATCAGTGGCTGGAGCTTGTGTTCCCGCTTACACAGGCCCATGCAGCCTCAAAGGATAATCTACAGAACTGACTTGGTATTTAACTATAGAGGATGTGGTCTTCTCTTTTTTTAAAGACTTTTCACTCCGAGTTGGGTTGATCCAATGGCGCCAGAATCATTTGAGTCCTGAAAAGTGAAAGAATTCACAGTAACATTACAGTTTAAGCCCCAAATCCCTGCTCTCAGTGTGTGCCTGCTAAGATAGTGTCAATTTTATAACCGCTTTGAAAATTTGACCCTTAAAAGATTTTTACACCAAGTGTGTGTTTAGTTGTTAATTCTGCCTCCCTTTAATGGATTTCACACAATCCCCTTGTGAAATGATCTGTACTGATTATTCTGCTCTCTATTTTTGCTCCCTGTAGCTGGTCAGCTTGAGCGATCCCCACCAAGTGAGGATGAAAACATGTCCAGTCCTGAAAGTCCAAAAGGAGCCCCGACGTTTGCTCCTGCTGCCCCCAGCCCTCACTTTCAGTGGGCCGTAAAGGCCATGCACGGGCCCAGCGGTGAACCTCCCGGAAATGAGGTCTATGTGGCCAAACGTCCCTCCTGGGAGCCAATGGAGGCCAAAGCAGGACCTCTGGAGGTGATGACCCTTCCCACCTCCCTTCAACAAGACAACCTGGAGAACTACTCAGGAGAGGGAAAGGACCAGGACACAGAGGACTCCAACACATCGACCGACCGAGGCAAGGCTGGACTGGGTGAGGACAAGGACTTGGATGGGAGTGGAGAAGGAAGCAACTTTCCCAGCAGCTTTGAAATGACAGTCAGAAACATGGCCATCAGTGATGTCAAAGTCACACCGGAAACAGATCCTTTACCCACCCAGGCAGTGGGTGAGCACAGTACTCTGACCCCATCTCAGAGCTCCCTGGAGCCACGTCCAGCACAGGAGGCCAGGGGAGAGATACTCTACGTCCCATGGCCGGCCGACAACCTGTACTCTGCCTCCACACACACGGACGGTTCAAACTCAGCTTTCACGCAAGCTTTTAGGAAGAATGGCCAAGGCGAGAGCAGGAAAGACGCGATTGCCACCACAACTGAAGCTTTGATGAGACGGCTGACTGCTTCAGAGGTTAGCACCGGGGAGCTTCTGGGCTCAGATGCGCAGAAGATGGATCAGATCACTACAGCAGCCGCCGCTGAAAATACACCAAACAGCTCTGCTACAGAGGCATTGATTTCCCTTTCATGGGTTCAGGAAGAGAAAAAGGAAACTACAAGTTTTCCCAACCCGCAAAGCCGGCTCTCAGCGACTCCGGCGCCCGCTGAGGGACCTCAAGCCGCGGGCGTTCGTTTGACCACCAGCTCATCGATGGAATCCAGATCTGCCGTGACTGAGGCGTTTGTCGTGGGAGGTATAATGACCCCGTTAAAAGGCTTGAAGTCAGATGACCGGACATCCCCGGAGGTCTCAGAGGGCAAAGACACGGACGACCCGTTCGGAATTCTCATGCCCAACTGGGCATTGAGTTTCATCCCATCAGGTAGGTTATTTCCATTGTGCTCCCGATGAATGAGCTCAACTGCCACCATCATCCTGTTGATTATGAGTGATTATTTAATCAGTAGCGATTCAAGTAATTATGGATCCAGCCCAGTGGGTGCAGAGGCAGCGACAGAGTTAGCAGAGCGGAAGGCACTCCTCCTGATTTCACAGTTCCTAAAACCCCACATCAACTCTAAGACATGCACTTCTCCACGGACTGTCTCTTCGTCTCCCTTCCGCCTGCTGCTCTGACAAATGTCCTGCATTGTTAATCCAGGCCGGCTCAGTGTTTTCGCTGTTGCTCTGACGCTGTTATAGCGACAGCTCTCAGACTGCAAGGCAGTGCGCTGAGGTGAGACCGGCCAGGTCTTAGGCGAGTAATTAGCGGGTCAGAGTGAGTGCAATTAGGTGAACTGGGGGAGGCAGAGATCCTAGTCCCCAACAAATCAATGTAGACACAAAATACAAGACGGGACTGGTAATTGACTCTGCTCTCTTGTCCTTACTCATTTTCCAGTTTGCTCATGTTCACTTTGCCCTTTGTCTAGCGGTGGGCCCGGCTTTGTTCTCTCACACTCTCCAGCTACAAAGTTGTGCATCTCAAAATGATGGAAATTTCTTTGCTTTTTGTCTCAGCTGGCTGGCATTGATTTAATTTGGTACTTAATGGACCTGCTACTCTGGCAGGGTAATACAAATTAAATCAACAAACAGAGCTTCTTTTTTTTTTTTTTTATTCTTTCGATTTTTCCTGGTCCCATTTTCTATGCTTCACAGCAGAAGTGGAGTTGGCTAGTTTTTGGCGCAGCTATTAACAACAGCTTCAGCTTCAACTAGTTTAACATTGAAGGGAAACGCCGCACTTATGTTGCTTAAATGCCACAAATTTGAATAATTATGCATAGCAAAAGAATATTTGCAACCACACAATGTGTAGAAAAAAATATGTGGCCTCTATTTTCACTTCTTTTTTCAGCAGATGGATTATGATTGTGAGTTGGAAAACTCTTTCCTCTCAGTAGCACTTCAAGAACATTGGCTTCTGGCTGTGCCAGCCATGGCCATGTTTTCCATGGAGCCCAACCATAAACCATAATATTATCATTTAAGTGAGGGGAACTTTGAACACAAATTTATTCCCTCACAGAGGAAAAACTAATTGATGCAAAAATGGCAACAGTAGTTCTATTTGTTGTCACTGGGGTTTAATAATTCCTGCGTTTAGCTGTTTTTTGCATATTGAAATTAAAAGGAAGAAGGAGAGGGAGGACAACGGGACTTTCTGTCTTTATCAGGTTGATATTTGAGTGGACTGACAGGCGGCTTTTGTTGAATGATTAGTAGCCTGAGACTTCCTCCTCTGAGCGACCTTTAGTAGCTGTCAGCTTTTACTACAGAGGAAATTACAGCAGTGGATTTTTGCCCATTACAGCAGGAAGATACAGTCAGAGACAGAGGAAGGAAAGGGCAAGAGGATCGACAGCCCTGGGAGGGAAGAATGGGGAACAGTGGGGTTGTGGGGTGGAGAGATGTTTGTCCTCAACAATGCTTTCGGCTGGAGTACATAAACCTTTTTAATCAATGATCAGTAACGACACAAACACAGTGCTGTCGGCTTCCAGAAATACCACCGTTCCTCCTCATCTGTCCGTTTTTTCTTCTTTCTATATCTGCGTTTCCTCCCAGTCTTCCTTCATTGTTTGTTATCAGGACAGGCTCAGGCCCTGTGTCCTGTTTGGCCATATATTGTTGAGATAAGGCACTGGTATATAACAGTTTATCCACATTTTCCAATCCCCATTGTGCTAGCCTCCAGCTAAACCTAACCAGACATACTGTATATATAAGCACACACATACTTAAATGTGTGAGGAACCAGGATACTTAATCCTCACTGGAGATAATCCACATGTCCAAATGTGGCAGCATCGCATAGAAAGACAGCCACAGAATGTCTTTATCCTTCAATATGAAGACTTTTCTATTTATTTAATGACTGATTTTCACATTATACTGTCCCTTAAGGACTGTGTGTTTCTGTTTTTTTTATAGGTTGAATATTGTTCTGTTTTTCTCCAATCTATCTTTTTGACCCCAATCTATTTGGTTATGATAAAAATAAAATGGGGATTGAGCAACATGTGGTATATTTATGATATCTTGAATTTCTTTCTTAAAGATTTTTATCATTTTCAACAAAAAAAGTTTGCTCGATTGATACGGTCACATAAGAGAACAGTATTTATATGAGGAAGTAAAATCAATCATTTTGTAGTGTTCAATCTTTCACTCTAGCCTTTTATGTTCTAATGCACTTGTTTTGCATGAGATCAAGATTTGTGAACGACTGTCAGATAGGCTCCAAAACTAACTGGCCTGGAAAGTTGCAGAATAGTTAGAAGCTCTGGCATCCAGCCCTCGGGAGTGATAAAGCAATGTAGGGGCACAAAGTATTACTGGCTGTCTATCAAGCCTTTAAATTACTGATGCCAGTCTGACACTGTGGCAAACGGGGAACAGGATGCCCCAGAGTTATAGTCATCCTGACTAAAGCCTTGTCCAAGGCTCAAGATGGATCAGACCTTTGGCAACATCAATAACGCAGCAGCCAGCCCACAACCAAATTAGAGTGTTAAATTTGAGGAGAGGAGTCAGTAAGTTGAAGTGTGTGTGTGTGTGTGTGTGTGTGTGTGTGTGTGTGTGTGTGTGTGTGCGGGTGCATGTGATGGGGCAGACTGGGTTGGCACATTTTCAGTGCGGGTTTGTGGATGGATGTTCGGCTTGTCTGCTGGCCTTGGGGACCTTGGATGGGCTGTCTGGAACAGCAAGAGGGCAAATTCTCCGAGCTGCATTTAGAAGTCGATTGATTTTGCCGCTTCTTGCTCCGTGTGCTTCTCATTTTAATTTCCACCGACCTCCTTCCATGGTTCTTTTCTACCTTGTTAGCCTGTTTTTGTTATCCTCGTCTCCGTGAATCTGTCTCTTAATGCCTCTCTGGTCATTGTTGTGCTTCTTGATCAGGTGGTGGCCGGTAAACCACATCTGCCCTCCTCAAATGTGCCCGTTGTCTCCTACATTTCTTATTTCTATCTTTTCAAGCATAATTCCTCCTTTTATCAATATCAAGCACTCCTGGCTGATTCTAATCCCGTGTTATTGAATGCACGAATGGGATTTGTTAAATACAACCTTGAGGGACAATTGTTTCTATCACAGTATGGGATGGAGACACTTTGCTCCACCACACCAGCCTGTGGTGACCGAGCACTACTTCTTTCCATAACTGAGCAGTCAAAGTGTTGAAAATGAGCAGGAACAGAGCGACGTTGTGGAATGCTGCTTTTATGTAAATTACTGACCGCTCATAATGATCGTGTTTAAATCCCATGAGCCGTAATATTTTCTCCTCAGTTGGCTGAAAGCTGTTAAAGATAGATGCCAATTACGGAATCTAAATTACATCTATTTACCATCTCTAAATGTTATCACCCTATTAGATGGACATTCATGCAGCTGGCATGGAAATGACCAGGTGGTACACGTACACACCTCCTGGGAGGTTATGGTCAATAATCATCAATCATTTCGATCTTCAAAAACAAATCACCTTAGCAGAAGGAACCGAGAAGCAATGTAAAGTGCTGCTCACTAAACCTATAACTAGTAAACCAACACCAAAAGCTATACAGAAGATGGTTAGTGGTTTTGACTTCATTTCTGTTGCACCAAAAAAAAATGATGTTGCTGTGAGAGTGATCTGAATAAGGTTGTGGCACACGTGTGAACTGAAAGAAAGGTTGGGAGTTTTATCAAAAGGTCAGCAGTGGCTTATATCAGCAGCGCGCAGTGTTTGGTCGTAACAGGGTTACGCTTGTCAAACGTGATGTGCAGAGTTTGTCCTCACAGCAGTTTTCTCCTTTTCAGTATTCAGGAGGCGTTGTCATACGTGCACACCTTCTCTCCGAGCCCGGCCTTTCAATGGATCAGATAGAGGGGTTTTTCTTGGAAAGGACTTCTAATACAACAGCGAGCGGCGATATAAAAGGAAAATATTTATTGTTTTGCAAAGCACTGTTGATTCTAATCTGTTTTACCCTGAGAGAATTAATTATTTAGCGGGGAACTTTCTGCACTGCAGCAAAAATTTTCAGCAGATGAGAATCTGTGATCAGTGTTTTCTGACATTTTGGGAAATGGATGAAAAAAAGTTTATTTATATACATAAAAGTCAATGGGAAAGTTGTGTTTGTAACTTTAATACGCCACAGAAAATGTCATTTAATATTCTGCAGACAGACAGAAAAAAAAACAAAGAAAATCTGAACTGAACAGGCTTTTTCTCTTTTTATAGGATCATAAAAATGCTTTATTATCTTTGCTGTTACAACAAAACCTGGTAATAATTCAGCCTCTAGGAGCCTCATCACAGGCAGCTGTGTTTTATTTTCCAGAACGTATGACCCAGAGCACCCGTTGTGCCAGATGAATGACTGGATCCCATGAATGTTCCTTGTAGCTGGTCTGCTGCTGGATTGAAAAGCAACTTTTGTTGTTGTTTCTATTAATATTTTTCTCATCTCGCAGCCCTCTATGGATCACATGAAGGGCAGGGTGCCATGTCACATTCAGAAAAACTGTAACAGTGAAAACTGAGCTTCAGTTATTAATTTCCTTGGGCACAGCATGAGTTCTTTTTAACAACACACTTGTTTTTCTCCACTGCAGCATCATGTTCAAACTTGTACAAACTACTAATATGAGGTATTTAGTATTCATCCCTCTTGCCATTCTATAACAGCTCAATATACGATCTTTTGCCCCCTATGGATTTTTGGATTTGAGCTTTTAAACCAAATGTTTAAAACAAAACATTGAGCAAAACAGCAAATGGAGCCTTCAATTGCTTGTTAAGTCATTCGGGCAGCTTCCACTTTTCCTATCTCATTATAGCTTATCTATAGCTAAGCCACAAAAAAACTGAAGCATGTGTCACCCCAA